CTGTTGGTGTGGGTCAACACCCTAGCAGCTGAATTTTGGAACAATAATTTTTTGTTTACAGAAGAAAAAACCAAATAAGAAAATACAAAAGCCTGAATGATCAGCTCTAGATCAACTTTGGAAGTAAGTTTCAAGATATTCCAGAACTGGAAACAACAGTTCCTAGCAGGGCCGCTGGAAGTATTTTTGAAAAGGGGGTGCTATGAAAATGTTTTGAGGGTTTTTTTTGGGACAAAAGAGCTATGAGCCTATGTTAGGCCTATTTAAAATACAATGAATAAAAATAAATAAATAGACTGAGATTCACTACTTTATTGTCGTATACATTCCAAAAAGATAAAAACAATCCACTGGACTTGGTTTCCAAGTTTGAAGACATTTCGCTTCCCATCCAGGAAGCTTTTTCAATTCAAAATGTCAGGAATAGCGTTGAGTTCGAGGTTTTATAGAGTGAAACCTCAAACTCAACGCTATTTTTATTGCAGAAGTGCATTCGGTGTAGTGAGAACAAAATAATAAAGTAGGAATTACACACTTTGGTGCAAGTCTGAAGTTAATTTCAAAAGCAAAGACACAATAGACTCTTGGTGTTTGTAAGAAACATGTAAATGTGTAAATGTGAGCAATAACATATGGAAAAGGAAGAAGAATTTTTTTACTTGTTTATGATTATACCGGTAGTTATGTACCTGAGTGTAGTCCAATGCGTATTTTCACTTTGATTTCAGGCATGTGTTTGATCTTAAATGCTCCTATTGAATGCAGAATGTCCAGAGACATGTTTGACACTTCAGCTGCGTGTCGATTCCCATTCCTGTTGGGAACCCCTGAAGCCACCATATAGGCATCCCCAATGGTTTCCACCTAAACAGAAAACACATGATCATTTAGATCAATACCCTAATAAAGAATGGTAGGGAGAATGGTAATGGAGGGAGGCTCTTACCTTGTAGACATCATGAGTCGCAATTATGGCGTCAAACATGGTGTAAAGGTCATTGAGCAAGTCGACCACCTAAAAACACTGTTTCAATTAAACCGTGAAAATGGACAAAATGAGCAGATTTTTAAACTGTTTTTACCTCAATGGGTTCACTTAGAGCTGAGATGGTTGTAAATCCAACGATGTCGCTGAAGTAAAGCGTGCAGTCTGAATAGTGTTCAGGTTGGACAGGCTTTCCCTTTTTCAAGGCCTGAGCCACAGACCTTAAACAATTAAAAATGATATAAATCTGAGGTAAAATAGAAGAAAAATTCTTTAAGGACTTCTATGATTTATCTTAAAATGGAATCACTAGAAGCTACTTTTAGCTTGTTCAACACAAAGAGCAAGCTTTGAACACCACACTACTAGAAGAAATAGAAAACAGCCGTTTACAACTTTGTCAAAGCCTCTTTATGCCGTAAGTTTAACTTAACAGTTAAATGAGTTTTGTTTAAAAAAAATTTGAATTCTCATACATCAATGGTTTACATTTTCTCAGTAGACATTCATGGTCAATGGTGTCAAACGCCTGAAGTCAATGAACACAGCCACTGTGTTCAGTTTTGGGTAATCTGCTTCAGTTTAATTTTTCCTGACTAAAGACAAATATTCCTACAGCAGGATAATCCCAGCGCATCTTTCACAGCGGAGATGGTTCGCTGATGGAGATCCAACAGTGTTATATCCTCACACAATATATTTAATGCAAAGCAAATTGGATCAGAGAACCTTCTTTCACGTGTTGGTTATGACTTTTTACAAACTTCAAATGGGACTTTTTATGGCTTTCCTTCACCAATGGCTTTCCTTTCATCGCTCTTCTATAAAGGCCAGATTTCTGGTGTATTCATCTAATAGCAGATAGAATAACCTGACTACCAGATTTCTTGTTGGTTTCATTTTGCAATATTCTAATACATATCATTTACTAAAACTATTTTTCTTTGTTTAAGCTTTAGAGAGCGTACTTGGCCAAATACAATAGAGACCCTATCGCAATGTCAGGATTCAGTCTCCTTAGAGACCCCATTGGTAAAGAAAATTTCAAAAATGTAAAATAATTTCCCCAAATATCTGAAGACACCTTAAGGAATAGAAAAAGGAATAGACTGCAGAGTTTTTAATTTTGAATGTAAAAAAAAAAAAGTAACCGCACAGATAACAGAAGTCTGAAAAGTAATATAATACGGTATACCACCATTGCATGTCTGTCTATCTCTCAATAAATGAAATCTCTAAAGTTTTCTAGACTGTTTGCACATTCATACACTTCTTCTTTCTAATTATGTTTATTTGATTTTTGTAAAATAAAAAGAAAATTCTGTTTAAAAAGGTTCATTCAAAGATCTTAGCTTTTAGGGGATCATCAGTGATGATAGATGATCATCAAGTATGATGATCTTGTGTATTTTACAAGCACACAAGAACAGGCTTGTGTAATCGAGTATTTAAAAACAGTCATGGTCTTTTCTGTATGGTGTTCCCCATAAGTATAGGAGTTCTTTCTGGCTTCATCCTAGCCTTTACCTACTATGTGTTTGTCAATGTTTGTTTGCCCTGTACTATTTTGCCCTTTGATAGAATAATGACATGTCTAGCATTTACCCCCACCTCTTGCCCAAGGAATAATACGAACAGAAACATTTTTTTAGTTTTACATAAATACTAGTGCTGCGCCAATGCCAGTTTTTGGCCCCGATACCCAATACTTAGCTGTGCAGTATTGGCCGATACCAATACCATCTGTTTGAAATTGATGTGTGTGTGTATATGAAGAACTGCATACTACTTGGATGTAAAATAATTGCCGTCATGTCTTTGTCAAGCTGCTGCCTACCTTTGTGAAGCAGAAAAAAAGAATAATACAAAGTGAATCCAGTAGAACTTTTTATTGCCTACCTGGAATGGTTGACAGTAGTTTAATAAACTTTTGGCTCTCAAAATGGTATCGGCGCCCTATTTGTTGGTACTCGCTGATACCGATACCACCATTTTAGTGCTGGATCGTGGCCCCCCCGATACTGGTATTGGTATCGATGCAACAATAATAAATACATATAAATATTTTTCATGAAGCAGGTCTTACTTTGGCAGGAGCTGTCCAACTAATTTCTCCGTCTTGTTTCTCTCAACCTCGAGTTCATCCGTTCGTTCCCTGATAAGATCCTCAAGGTTGGAGCTGTACTGCTCCAACATCCGTAACATGGAGTCAATAATGTTTGCCCTCCTCCCTCTGCTGATGCCTCGGAACTAAAAACACAAACATGAAAAAGAGTTAAAGACGCTTGAATAGTCTTATCCTCATTTGTAGATTTCTCAGCGGTTCTCCATAAGGCTGATCTGGTTTATAAACTGTTTGGTTATTATCATTTGTATAAATACTAGTGTTGGGCCGTTATTGGTGTTAATG